TGAGTCACCTGACATGGGTGCTAGGAACTGAGAGTGGGTCCTCTGAAAGAACAGTACAGTATGTACTCTAATTGATGAGCTATCTCTAGCCCCTGGGGTTTTTGTTTGTTTGTTTTTAAATGGAAATTCAAACAAATAAAAGACAAATACTATTCAGCACTGTCATGAAAGTGGGAGGTGCTCGTGAGACCCCCACGTCTTCCCGAGAATTGACAGGTAGTTAATAGTTGCAGCTGAGACTTTCCTTCAGTGGACAACACTCTACAGTGTCCATAACCCTGGAAGCAACCTGCGTTGGTTCATTGGGTCACGCACATTAAAGACATAAAAATAAAGGGGTGGAGAACAAAATAGGGTAATGAGTGGTCATGGTAAACATGATCAAAATGATGTTCATGTATGAAAATGTTATAAAGAAACCTTTATGTATCATTAATATATGCTGATAGAATAAAACAAAAGGCATTGTTATCCCTCCACCTCTGGTTCCGCCTTAACAGAACACTTTGTACTCAGAGTTGTACATCTTGCTTTTTCACTAAACAATGGATGCTGGAGATATCTGTCTGCTGAAGGACACAGAACACCCTTGTTCATCTACTGAGTGGTTGACATTGGCTGATACCATGATGACTGACTGATCCAGGCTCTTGGGCCTGGATGTTTTGCTGCTTCTCAGTTCCTTTACTGGTCAGTGTCTCTGTAATGAGCAATCTCCTGTGATGTGCACCTGTGCAGCGGGGTCCCATAAGTCGAATGGCCCTGTTAGAGGACACATGCCTGTGTGATTTGGATAGGACCAGTTTGTATTCCCAGTGGCTTAACACAGTGGTTTTTAGACTTAGGATGTTTGCTAATCAAATAGATGAGAAATGGGTTCATTTCAGCTTTGAATTCTAAAAGACCTGTAACTATGGTATTCATTTTCTATGAGCTACAATCTCATTCCTTCTCTCTTCTTCTCCCTTCCTCCCTCCTTCTCTCCCTTCTAATTCAGTATTTAGAATAAAATTCAGAGCCTTCTGCATACTGAGCAAGTGTCTGTCACCAAGCTACATCTCTCACACTGTTTTACACATTTTGAAGTTGGAGTTTTGGGGAGAGTGAAAGGGTGTCTTCTAAAAATCTAGACAGGGTTTCATATAGCCTAGACTGGCTTTGCACTCACTCTGTAGCCAAGTATAATACAACCTTGAGGTCCTGATCCTCCTACCTCTACCTCCTAAGTGTTAGAATTAAAAATGTGTCTCCCTCCCAGTATATTGAAACTGGATTTTGTTGGTATTTTCATTGTTTCTAAGAGACTTTCATCTGTTTTTCTTTGACATGAGCCCAAAGTATCCAGAGATTCTTTTGGTTTTGTCTGTTGTGTGCTTTAGTTAGTGTGCATGGGTTATTTGACTGTTGTATATTCAAGACATTCATAGTTGTGAGGCCTTTTGTTGTCTAGTCTTTTAAAACACTTGGCTTGAGCCAGGCATGGTGGCACTCACCTTTGATCCCAGCACTTGGGAGGCAGAGGAAGGCAAACAAACAAACAAATACAGAGAGAGAGAGAGAGAGAGAGAGAGAGAGAGAGAGAGAGAGAGAGAGAGAGAGAGAGAGAGAGAGAGAGAAAAGACCCTTGGCTTATGTTTTGATTGGTTGTTTTTCTAGTTTGGGAGGGGTCAGGGGATTGAGACAGGATTTCTTTATTTAGTCCAGTCTAGCCTTGAACTTGTAATCTTCATATGTTAGCCTCCCAAGTGTTAAGATTACAAGGATATATCATTACACCTGGCCTATTGTTTGTTTTTGAGACTCAAGAGAAGTGTGAGCTTCCTACCTGTAATGATTTTTACCTCTCCCTCCCCCCACTCCCTCCCCCCCACTAACACCAATTGGTATTTTTCTTAAGGTGGTAACAATTTAACATTAGCTTATTGAAGAATTTTCATGTATGTGTGGTATGCATGTGTGTACATGCATGTTTTCATGTGTGTACACATACATGTGCAGCCTGAGGTTGATGGTGGGAACTCTCATTTCTCTTGCACCTTATTCAGTGAAACAAAGTCTCTCAGTCAAACCCTGAGCTCACCTACATGGTCTAGTCAGCTTGCTCTGAGATTCTTTGTCGCTACAACCCCAGATAGAAACTGCAAGTAGGCCACCACACCCACCTGGTATTTACTTGGCTTCTCAGGATCTCAACTCTGGTCCTTGTGTTTGTAGCAGTTGCTTTAATCATTGAACTATCTCCCCAGCCCAGAGGACTAGTTTCTTTACCTCTTGGACCTCCTGAGTCCTGAGCACACTTCTGTTTTTCCAGAGACATCCACATCCCTCTGATCTTCTTCATTGTCATATCAGAGATACTGGGACAGACTGTGTGATATTTTGTTTGTGCTCTAACAAATAAAGCTTGCCTGGAGATCAGAGGGCAGAGTAGCCACTAGTTAGCCATAGAGGCCAGGCAGTGGTGGCACACACCTTTAATCCCAGCACTTGGGAGGAGGAAGCAGGAAGATCAGGAGTTCAAGGCCACCCTGGGCTAAAAGATCCAGTCTAAAAGAGAAACAGAGCCAGGTGGTAGAGGCTCATGCCTTTAATCTCAGCACTTGGGATCTCATGCCTTTAATCTCAGCACTTGGGATCCCATGCCTTTGATCCCAAAAACTTGGGAGGCATACGTCTTTAATCCCAGCATTAGGGAGGTGGAGACAGGAAATAATATGGCTGGGCAGAGAGAGAAATATAAGGTGGGTGGAGACAGGAGCTTAGCCCTCTTTTCGGCTGAGGAGTTGGTGAGGTGAGAGGTGGCTGTGGCTTGCTCCTCTGTCTCTCTGATCTTTCAGGATTTACTCCAATATCTGCTTCTCTGGGTTTTTATTATTAAGACCAGTTAGGATTCGCACTACAACAGATCCTGAAATTAGACTCCGGAATGTTTTCCTTTTGTTGTCACTAAGTAGGCACCTTAGGTAATTTTATCTCCTTTGCCTTCTTTTAAGACCCTTTAAGAACAAACAGGTGCTAGCATGATGTTAATAGGGAATGTTGAATAAGTTAACAAATTCAGCCTTCCCCTGCAGTTGAAGGAACAAGACCTCAGTGAGCTTACAGGAAGAATAATGTGTTAACGCTGGACTCCAGACCTGCTTCCTCCTGCAGAAAATGCAGTTGCACTGCAGTCCCCCAGATGCCTTCTAGGGGCAAACACAGGGCCTCTAATTCTAAGTGCCATCATGAGCATATCTGTATGAAAAGCCTGTGGTTTACTGTGTGGACCACTTTATTCCTGCCTCATGTCACAGAGATACCCTTACTACCCCTGCTCTCTGTATGAGGAAGCAGATTCAGAGAAAGTAGCTGGGCCAGAGTTAAACACTAAATGGATTCTCTTTATTATTATTATTATTATTATTATTATTATTTTGAAGTTACAGCCCTTCTCAGTACCTTCATCACTATTTAACACTGTGTTCTAGTGAAATACCTACCCTGTTCACAAAGGAGTGGCTGTTGGAGGGCAGCTGGATGGGACATTGAGTGCCCAGAGCTTTTGAAACTTCAATTTTTTGTCATTATATGTGTGCACATGGAAGGAAGGGTGATAGAGGTCAACAGCAGGTGTTCTCCACACTATGAATATGTTTTATTACCATTAGTTAATTAAAGAAGCTGCTTTGGCTTATAGCAAGGCAGGATATAGCCAGGTGGGAAATCCAAGTAGAGATATGGGCAGAAGAAAGGTGGAGTCAGGGGAGATGCTGCAAGCTGCCAGAGGAACAAGATGTAATAGAACATGGGTAAAGCCACAAGACACATGGTGATACATAGATTAATAGAAATGGGTTAATTTAAGATATAATAGCTAGCTAGCAATAAGACTGAGCCATAGATCAAATAGTTTGTAATTAGTATTAATCCTTTGAGTGATTATTTTATAAGCTGCTGCAGGGCCAGAGAAAAGCCATCTGTCTATGCTCCTCAATCACCCCTGCCATGTTTTTAAGACAGAGTCTAGGTGTACTGCTGTGGGATGGTCTGTATGTCAAATTGCTCTGATTGGTCAATAAATAAAATACTGATTGGCCAGTGGCCAGGCAGGAAGTAGGTGGGACAAGGAGAGAGAAGAATTCTGGGAAGCAAAAGGTTGAGGCAGAGAGACACTGCCAGCCGCCGCCATGACCAGCAGCATGTGAAGACACCGGTAAGCCACCAGCCACGTGGCAAGGTATAGATTTATGGAAATGGATTAATTTAAGCTATAAGAACAGTTAGCAAGAAGCCTGCCACAGCCATACAGTTTGTAAGCAATATAAGTCTCTGTGTTTACTTGGTTGGGTCTGAGCGGCGGTGGGACTGGCGGGTGACAGAGATTTGTCCTAACTGTGGGCAAGGCAGGAAAACTCTAGCTACAGTGTACCTGGAGCTCCCTATTCTGGAGAGGCTGGCTGGGTGGCCAGAAAACCACCCAATACTGGGATAACAGGATCATGCTGTGTACCCAGCTTCTTATGTGGGTGTTGGGGATCTTAGCTCAAGTAGGTGCTCAAGCATTTAGTGACAGCCATGTGTGCAGCATCACTTTCTTTAAAGTCACTATGAGATGAATGCTGTGTGTGTGTGTGTGTGTGTGTGTGTGTGTGTGTGTGTGTGTCTGTCTGTCTGTCTGTCTGTCTGTCTGTCTGTCTGTCTGTGTCTTTGGACTGTTCTGAATGCTAATTAGCATTCTTAGATAAGCTAGAGGTGGTTGCTGTCAATAACGGGGCAGAGCACGTAGGTCATCACTAAAGTCCCATATAGAAATCATCAGACTTGACCCTGGTACAGGTTCTCAGCTCTGATGATTCCATTTTGTAGGTGAAGAGCCTGAGGCCCACGAAGCTAATGGACTTGACTAGGCCTGTGGTGTTTAGGATCGCCCAGGCACATCTGTCACATCCTTCAGGTCTGTGGGCACCAACAGATGCTGACATTGCTATCTTGGACAACTTTGTGTTTCTTTTACCCAGAGCCACAATCATGTCTTTGGATGACTTTGAGCATCGTTTGAATCAAGCAATTGAAAGAAATGCCTTCCTGGAGAGCGAGCTGGATGAGAAGGAGAATCTTCTCGAATCCGTGCAGAGGCTGAAGGATGAAGCAAGAGGTCAGAAGCTTCCCTGCCTTCCCCTGCATGGTACCTCTCTATCCAAGACAAAATTGTTCCTTGGTCTTGCCTAGCACTGCCTTTCCAGGGAGCCTGGAGCTGTTCTGTACATGAGCGGGTCTCCCAGAGACTGAGGGACAGCTCTTTGTGGACATTTGCCAGAATGGGTGTTCCGAATTGTCAGCTGCTGTCAGTGATTACTGGAGTGGCTGTCAGACACCTTATGTCTGCAGGAAAAGCCTTGGGGTTGACAGATTCAGCTTTGTTCATTGGTTTGTCCTCCTTGGTTCAGGAATGACTCTGTGGGGAATGATCCCATGCATGCCAGGCAGACTTGAGGCCTAGAAGCACAGGGTTTCTTGGGGATAAAAATGCCATTGTATTGCTGGCCAACTTTTGGTTGTTTTTCCAGGCATGAAGTTTTTAGACTAATGGGACCTTCATTGGTGAGCCAGCCAAGCTGAGTGCTTAAGAGTGTTTGTTCCAAGTCCTAATTTCTTTTTTGTTTTTTTTTTGTTTTGTTTTTTTGAGACAGGTTTTCTCTGTGTAGCTTTGGAGCCTGTCCTGGAACTTGCTCTGCAGACCAGGCTGGCCTCGAACTCACAAAGATCTGCCTGCTTCTGCCTCCCGAGTACTGGGTGAGCCACCACTGCCAAGCTTCCAAGTCCTAATTTCTTGTTTACTTATTTATTTTTGTTTTTCAAGACAGGGTTTTGCTGTGTAATAGCCCTGGCTGTTCTAGAACTCACTTTGTAGACCAGGCTGGCCTCAAACTCACAGAGATCCACCCGCCCCTGCCTCCAGAGTGCTGGGATTAAAGGTGTAAGTGATCACACCTATCCCTTCATTCTTCCTTCCTTCCTTCCTTCCTTCCTTCCTTCCTTCCTTCCTTCCTTCCTTCCTTCCTTCCTTCCTTCCTTC